AGACTATGATTAATCCTTTTCCCGCTAGTGCCCAGTACTGGGACTGCTACATCACTTCCTGTTAGCAGAGTGGATTCAGTTTTTCTGACAGCAGAGGATCTTGGAACCTGTAGTCCTTTAGCCAATACATCCTGTATTCCTGAGTGCTGATTAAACTACAACTACCAGAGAGTTGGCGAATGAGAAGGATGCTGGGAAAGCAGACATATTCTACAGCAAGGGACTGGCTTTCTTTTGGTGCAGAAGAACTGCCATTCTCCTCCAGAGACAGATTGCTGGCCTACTGCTGTGGGACTCTGCACATCAGTTCAGTACATCAGTGATGTCAATTGCCACACCAAGATTGCATCAGCTTCTCTGTATCACGACTGTCACTGTCCAGTCTTCACACAGATGTCTCTGCTCACCACACCGACAGGTTGTTAGGCAGTAACTCTGCACATCTCTGCTAACAGCCAAGAGCCTGTGCAAGAACTCTTGTTCCTAGGAGGCCATGCTATCCATAACTCTTGTTCCTAGGAGGCCATGCTATCCATAGGATTGGTGAGCGGGCAGATGCCTGACGTCTTTCAGTCATCACTCTAGAGGCACTGCATGCAGACACCTTTACACCTCAGTATCAGGGGATCTTTGCTTTGAGCAGTACCAAGGCTTATCTGTTTAACTTAATTGAATTACCAGTATTCACTGCTGTTTATGGGCCCAACCATTACTAGCAGAATACATCGATGCCACCATATCAGGAACTTTAAACATTGCAGGACTCAAGTTGCAATCTCTAGTTAACCTCCCTAGCAGTTTGATTATGTCAGTATTTCTGTGCTCAAAGCAGTACATTGTTTTCAATGGAAATATGTTGTTTTTTTATTGTAGGCCTGTAATTCTTAGAAATAACTCACCGAAATCTGTCCGAACAAGAGTCTAGGGTATGATAAAATTTGAAACACGAAATCATAAATTATAATATAATTAAAAATCCTAAAAAAATAATAATAATAAATTTAATTCAATAATGTAATCAAACCAAAAACACTGAAATTTGAAATAGAACACAAATTTCGCACATCCCTAAGCTCAGTCACAAAATCGTTTTCAGTGTCTGATGACGAATTTCGCCAGGAATCATCACTCAATTTTGCAAGTGGTTCTAATTTACTATTGCTGTGCTCTAGCTGGTCTAAATCCGCTTTTGACCTAAAAGGACGCTTCTTGGACACCATGGATGTTTCTCAGTTTCCAGGCAGAAAGAACAGTAAAAATGCAGGCAGGGCACAGGACAAAGCACTCGGGACAAAATGTATGTGAAATGCTTTGATACAGTAATGTAATACTATCAGATTTTAGTGTATTGAATGAATGTCAAATTTTTACATTTTTTTAAATTCCTGCCGGTTCCATCCCCATACGTCCCGACGCTCGCAGGGAATGGAACCTGGAAGACGGATGCCAGAATCGGCTGGAGGACATGGCCATGGACGCTGCAGGGGGGACATTGTGGGACCGCAGGACAAGGCAGGTGCTCGAGGGATCCCAGAGTAACGCTGCAGTGTAATCCCGGGTGTAGCTCGGGGTTACCGCTTCTGGGACTGAAAGTTAACCCCGAGCTACACTTGGGAATACCGCCAGGGGGGTTAAAGGGACCTTTTTCTTCTAAGGCCATAGTTATTCAACTTAGGGTACTTATATCTATTTATGTCAGAGTATACATTTCCATAATTTTCTGCATGCCCCATTGCGGCGCTGGTGGCATGGAGGGAACTGATAAGTCAACAAGTCTTTTCTTTCTCCTCTTGCCAGCATATCAAATATCTAACCCAGCTAACATGTTCTAAGCAGTTACAGAAATTTTTTTCCTTTCAGTATAGAGGCTGTACATAAATGATTAAAAGCAAACCACTGTAAGCACTTGCCAGCATTAAATGGTTTATCCCAACCCTCTAAATTCCCCTTTTGCTTGACGGCTTGGTGTGGTAAAAGAAATAAAAATAACAGACTTATTGGCAGGATCAACAGGTAATAAAACTATATTACAGGGATGGGGGGCTTAGAAAAAGCAAACTGCTGTGTTAATGCTAGTGACAGACTACATTATATACACTACCGTATTTTTCGCCGTATAAGACGCACTTTTTCTTCCCCAAAACTGGGGGGGAAATGTCAGTGCGTCTTATGGAGCGAATATGGAGCGGCCGGTCCGGTATTTCCACCGCGGCCGTGTCAGAATACGGGGCCGGCCGCTCAGCTCTGCAGCGGGACCTTACCTGTTCCTCTATCCAGCGGCGTGCTGTCTTCCCGGCTTCTGTAGTGTGGGCACTGGGCATGACAGCCGGGTGCCAAGTGCGCATGCGCAAGAAGCGGTGCTTTTTGTGAATGGTAAGGCGGTACCTGGGACACATGACAGATCCCAGAAGCCGCCGGACCAATCACAAAGCGCAAGTACTTCTCGCTCATGCGCACTGGGCACCCTGCTGTCATGCCGAGCGCCATTACAGAAGCCGGGAAGACAGCACGCAGCTGGATCGAGGAACAGGTAAGATCAAACAAAAACTCTGCGGAAGTAAGAGCGGGTACCTGTCAAATTCAGGTACCCGCTCCCCACCTCCCCAAAGGTCAGCAGTCATCTCCTGTACTGTCCGCAGTCTCTGGTCATCCCTGTGCTGTCCGCAGTCTCTGGTCATCCCTGTGCTGTCCGCAGTCTCTGGTCATCCCTGTGCTGTCCGCAGTCTCTGGTCATCTCCTGTACTGTATCTGCAGTCCATTAGTTCAGAATTTTTTTTTCCTGTTTTCTGCCTCTAAAACCTAGGTGCGTCTTATGGTCAGGTGCGTCTTATACGGCGAAAAATACGGTATATTGCCTTTACACGCACATGAACTTTAATGGCATCCCAGTCTTAGTCCGTGGGGTTCAAATCCTGTATAATAATAATAGAATTGAGTTGGCCACCCTTTGCAGCTATAACAGCTTCAACTCTTCTGGGAAGGCTGTCCACAAGGTTTAGGAGTGTGTCTATGGGAATTGTGACAATCGCGGCATCAGACCCTAGCCCTTCTCACCAACTCGTGACCGAAGGACTAGCCATTCTAAAACTGCGCTGTCACGTGCGTAACAATGCCACACTCAGCTGCACCCTGTACAAAGATTTTCCAGCTAATGGACCACAATCTATGTACCTGCAGCCTGAGAGCGATTGTTACTGGGTCAGGTTAATTACGCAATTAACCCTTCACACTGCCACCACCGCCTTTTTGTAGGGAAAAGGAGGAAACTCGCAAATATTAGCAATAACACTATGATGTTTGAATATTCGTCTGTATACCACTGTCACCGCAGGTAGAGATATATAGAGGTTTTAAAACACACAGTAGCGCTCTTCAGAGACAGGGATTCTTAGTTTGCATTAAAGAGTTTTAGAAACAGTTCAACACTTTTCAGATAATAGGATTTATTACTAAAAAGGTCAAAAGGGTGCAATATCAATATTTACAGAAAAAGATGTAGCCAATATATATATATATATAAATACAGAGAGCACTAACACAGCAAAGAGATAACAGAAAGAAGTTTAGAGAGGTAGATACTTGCCGTCAGCCTTGGTTTAAGCAGATCAAGTTTCAGAGCAAAGGATACCATCTCCAAAGTTGGTTCCTGATGTTAAAAGAATTCTTCAACTTACTGCTCCAAGCATAACAGCCTTTTTCTAGGAACTCAGCAGGGTGTCTCCTTACAGCAGAGAACCAATCGCCTCATTTGTGGGGTGTTGTAGGTGGGGGACTCTTCCCTAGGTACATGTAACATTCTCTCCACGGGTATATTAATATGCAGAATCATCTGCTGAACGTCTAGATATCAAACATAGCATAGTTCACTATTTCAGCTAGAACTATATGGCTTTGTGCTCTCCTGTAGACTTCAACTAGGGGGTGTAAGATATCAGACAACTCACATTAAACTGAGCTATCTGAATATATGCTTGGTTTTTATGTATTTATTTCCCATGTCCAGATATAAAATTATATGAAAAGTGAGTTTTAAATGTGTTGTCTGTTTTACAGCTAGCTGGAATGTATTTGAAGCCCAGTTAAGGACTGATTTATGGTTTTACGATTCTCTCAGATTGAGAAGCTAACAGACACCCGGGTACCAGCTAATTTGGGATTTATACCCATGAAGCTGTCACGCTGTGCCTGATTGCCTGTGCACTTCTGTACCCAGACACAGGGACCACGTGTCACTCAACAGAGAGGGAGGGGGGAATTGCAGGGGGAGAGATACAAGATGGAGGATCCTTAGCAAGATGGATGACCACGTCCATCCCTGTGTGCACAACTGCTACAGGAATGTTTGACCATTCTTCCGGAAGTGCATTTGTGAGGTCAGGCACTGATGTCGGACGAGAAGGTCTGGCTCACAGTCTCCACTCTAATTCATCCCAAAGGTGTTCTATCAGGTTGAGGTCAGAACTCTGTGCAGTCCAGCCGAGTTCCTCCATCCCAAACTCGCTCATCCATGTCTTTTTGGACCTTGCTTTGTGCACTGGTGTGCAGCCATGTTGGAACAGGGAGGGGCCATCCCCAAACTATTCCCACAAAGTTGGGAGCATGAAATTTTCCAAAATGTCTTGGTATGCTGACACCTTAAGAGTTCCCTTTGCTGCAACTAAGAGGCTAATCCCAACCCCTAAAAAACAACCCCTCCATAATTCTCCCTTCACCAAACTTTACACTTGGCACAATGCAGTCAAGTAAGTATTGTTCTCCTGCCAACCAACCAACCCCAGACATGTCCATTGGATTGCCAGACAGAGAAACGTGATTGATCACTCCAGAGAACAGAGTCCAGTGGTGGCGTGCTTTACACCGCTGCATCCGATGCTTTGCATTGCATTTGGTGATGTTAGGCTTGAATGCAGCTGTTCGGCCATGGAAACCCATTTCATGAAGCTCTCTATGCATTGTTGTTGTGCTAATCTGAAGGCCACATGAAGCTTGGAGGTTTTTAGCTATTGACTCTGCAGACAGCTGGCAACTTCTGCGCAATGTGCGCTTCATCCTGCATGACCCCACTCTGTCATTTTACATGGCCTACCACTTCGTGGCTGAGTTTCTGTTGTTCCCAGTTGCTTCCACTTTTTATAATACCACTAACAGTTGATCGTGGAATATTTAGTAGCAAGGAAATTTCACGGATGGACTTATTGCACAGGTGGCAACTAGAGATGAGCGAATTATTCAAAAATTCGATTCGGCTGATTCGCCGAATTTGCGGAAGAAATTCGATTCGATGCGAATTTATTCGCTGCGAATTTAACTTATTAAAAGGGTTTCTAGGCTTCAGAGAGCCTTTATATTTGTGCTGAACACTGTACCTTTAATTTAAATGCCCTTGGAGTCTGCTGGGGAGGAGAAATAATACTGTCAGTCAGTATGACATGCAGATGAGTGCCGTCGATCTTAGAATCACGCACACTTCACTCATTTGGGCAGTCACGGGGCACGACGAAGAAGAAGGAGAAGAAGAAGAAGAAGGAAAAGAAGAAGAAGAAGAAGAAGGAAAAGAAGAAGAAGAAGAAAAAGAAAAGAAGAAGAAGAAGAAGAAGAAGGAAAAGAAGAAGAATGAAAAGAAGAAGAAGAATGAAAAGAAGAAGAAGAAGAATGAAAAGAAGAATGAGAAGAAGAATGAGAAGAATGAAAAGAAGAATGAAAAGAAGAATGAAAAGAAGAAGAAGAAGAATGAAAAGAAGAAGAAGAAGAATGAAAAGAAGAATGAAAAGAAGAAGAAGAAGAATGAAAAGAAGAAGAAGAAGAATGAAAAGAAGAAGAATGAAAAGAAGAAGAATGAAAAGAAGAAGAAGAAGAATGAAAAGAAGAAGAAGAATGAAAAGAAGAAGAATTCCATTCCAGCAAAAAGTGTATCTGCAGAGAGCTCCGCTATTTCTGACAGTTCTCTGACAGTTCCTTCACATTTACAGCGGTTGAAACATTGTATCTATTTGTTTTCGAATAAAAACATCTGTATCCTAAATGGAAACAAATATATACAATGTTTCAACCGCTGTAAATGTGAAGGAACTGTCAGAGAACTGTCAGAAATAGCGGAGCTCTCTGCAGGGACACTTTTTGCCGGCTGTAGAAGGGATGAAAATCGGCCGATCGGGAAAAATTCGATTCGCGCATCCGAAGTTTGCTAATATTCGGATTCGGTGCGAATCGAATTTTTCCTAATATTCGAAACGAATTCCACTTCGCCAAGTTCGATTCGCTCATCTCTAGTGGCAACCTATCATGGTACCACGCTTGAATTCACTAAGCTCCTGAGAGCGACCCATTCTTTCACAAATGTTTGTAGAAGCAGTCTGCATGCCTAGGTGCTTGATTTTATATACCTGTGGTCAAGGAGGTGATTGGAACACCTGAATCCAATGATTTGGAGGGGTGTACGAATACTTTTGGCAATATCGTGTATTTTATTCTTTCTCTCATAGTTTCACTTTGATCCAAATATTTGCAAATTTAATACTTGTTTCCCATGTAAAGCTGAGTTCAAACCAGGGTGAAGTTTATACAAGTAAATTAGTAGTCTTCAGTTCATCAGCAACGCGAAAGGACTGCTGCTTCATTCCTCTGCTATCAGGACAAGGGACTTCTGACAAGTTTTCCTGAAACCAAGAGATAAATAGGTGACAGGGAGGGAGCTCCAGAACACAGCTTGTGATTGGCAGCCTCAGCTCTGTTTCTGTGGGCTGTGTGAAGGGGGTTGTGTGCCTTTCCTCCAATAAGTTCTCACAGCTCTTCTCACTGAGCTCTGCAGTGTGTAATTTCTGCTGCTCATCCATTTTTTTCTGAAAGGTCAGACAAGCTGTATAAATTCTGCATTTTGAATGGCTGTAGGTAAGAGAGGGCTGCAGATAAACAGGTACAACCTATATAGGAGGATTTGTTTCATCTCATCACATGAGGCCAGTCACTTCATTGGGTATACAGTATGTAAGGGTTTACAACCACTATATTATAGCAAATACCATTGGTGACTATAAATTACTTTATTTCAGAAGGTGTAAACAGTGGACCGCTGTCAGACACAAATGTACCCAGTAAGCTGGGGCTGGCAAAAAAGCCTCCTGAATACTCAAGGGACAAGGTAATAGGCACTAGTATAACCATTTATTTCTTCAATAGAAAAGAATGGGGGGGGGTTACCAAAACCGGTGCACACAGAATCTGGTGCAGCTGTGCATAGTAATCAGCTTCTAGGTTTTATTGTCAAAACTTAAAGTGTTACTAGAGCCACAACAGTAAAATAAGTCTTTATATGCAGTAGAGCATGCTTGTTATACTCACTGTGGATCCTAAGGGGTTAATACTCCACATTGTGTAAAAAGGATGTTTGATCCTGACTTTTCTGATCCTCCCATTCTTCTACTGTCCCCAATCCATCTGCTGATTGAACAGAGCCTTGGGGGCAAGCTGCAAATGCTCAGTTTGGTATGTATGGCTAGATAGTGGTTTTTGTTTCTTGGGAGAGTGCATGTGATCAGCACGGGGCCAATCAATGTTGTCCAGACAGAAGGTCAGGGGTTCTGCAGCCTCATAGGACAATCAGGAGAATGAAAACTCTTCCTACAAGCTTTAACCAGTGCTCTGCTGCACACTATTAGAAGTCACAAGACTGCTCTAACTGCTGATGAGAAAAGGTATTTAATTGTTTATATTTACTAAAATAATTGCATTTCCATGTGAGATGCCATATATAGTGAATGCAGGGTCCTAGGTTTAGTAGCACTTTAATTGAACAAGCTGAAGTTAGAACCTGATTGGTTACTATGCACAGCTGCACCAGACTCTGTGTGCACTAGCTTAAGTAAATCTCCTACGAAGTGTCCTTGGAAAGGACCTTTAAAAGCTGCAGTTTTGGCAAATTCCATTGGATGGACCAGAGATTTGGTAAATCATGCCATGTGGACCACCATGTAATATATTTCTTAGTATATCTTTTTAATTCTTTACATTAATTTAAGGGCATTACCAGGTGCCGACTGACAACTCATGGGGCCCCCGGGCAATAGGGGATCATGGAGCCCCTGTGTCCTTGCCTATGAAAAAGGTACCAGGGGCATCTCATGGGGCCCCCTATTGACCCTAGGCCCTCGGGCAGTGCCCGAGTTTCCAAATGGTCAGTCCGCCCCTGGGCATTACACATTCTTTCTGCTAGGAAATACTTTTATTAATTGGGCAGCACAGTGGCTAAATGGTTAGCACTTCCGCCTGGCAGTACTAGGGTCGCTGGTTCGAATCCCAACCAATCCCAACCGAATCCCAACCAATGCCTCCCTGTGACTGCGTGGGTTTCCTCCAGGTACTCCGGTTTCCTCCTACACTCCAAAGACATGCTGGTAGGTTAATTGGATCCTGTCTAAATTGGCCCTAGTCTGTGTATGAATGTGAGTTAGGGACCTTAGATTGTATACCCCTTGAGGGTTAGGGATTGATGTGAATGTACAATATATGTATGTAAAAGCACTGTGTAAATTGATGGCACTATATAAGTACCTGAAATAAATAAATAAATTCATTACCTTGATGTCCTTCACAAAAAGCCTGAAGCACTCAAATGTGTCAAGAATATTACATTACATGAGACATCCCCTATATCTATAGGACTGATCATGCTGATGTATTTGAAAGGGTCTGAAATCATCATTGAGCTATGTATATGGCTATTTCCTGCAAGGCGGCACATTAAGTTCAAAACTTAGATAAGAAAGGTTAGTAGCTTTCATGACTTTTTGTCTATGGCTTGCAAAGTTGGCACTGAAAGCATGAACATTTGGATGCAAATTAAAATTAAAGACACTGTAGTTACTGTTCTGATACTGGCTGTCAGAATACAACAGGCAACAGGGAGATTCCTCCATCAATGCTGTTCAGTATGAATGGAGAAATCTAGAGAAGTATTACACATAAGGTGAGGGGTTTTTTTTTCCAAAATGGTATTCCATTACCACACTGTCTAAGCAGAGAAAAACTCTTTGCATCTAAAAAAAATTTAGTACAAAGGTTCCACCACTTTTATAGTACAATCGTTTACAGCACTCCAATACTGTCCTGAAAATTAGTTTTATCTTTTAGGAAATAATTAAAAAAATGAATAAGTCCCTGGAATGGCTGCAGTTTGTGTATACTTTTCAGGGCAGGAGCTTCCTTTTTGGCTTTCAGTTATGCACTTATTTATGGATGGACACCATTGGGATTAGTTTGTACCTTGGGAGCTCAACAATGGCCACTACAAGAACACTCTGTAAATGGACGCTGGCCAATCTACCTGTAAAAACCTCCCTTGTGTTGATATTTAGAAGACCTGAGACTGCAGTTGGGCTATGCCATCTGTGATGTAATGTCAGCATCTCCAGCAGACACAGAGCTGTCACTTGAGTGACACTTTATAAAATTCTCCCTGCTCTTCCCCTACAACTATATAAAGGAGGAGGTGTTAAACCAGCACAGGCTGTAATTGGACACTCCCAGAAGAGAAGACGGCTAGGGAAGTGAGCCTTGCTAAAGAATTATCAATTTCTCCAGCAAGTTTAAAACCACATTGCAAGTGGACAAAAATTGTTAATGGAAAAAAAATAGTGTGAGTAAGAATTTAGTTAAATTTTTGGTGTTTTTACCTGCATTTCTTAGGTTGGTGATATAGTCCCTTTAACCTCTTGATTTCCTTTGGTTGTTTTAAAACAACCTTGACCACAAGTGGTTAAAACAAGCTCATGGCTGCAGCTACAGCCATGAGCTGGGTATAATGTTTTTTCAGGCCCCAATCGGCTGTCCAATAGAAGTGATCTGGGTGGCTCTACAGTCACCTGATCCCTTTTAAAGTAGTAAGAAGGGCAAACCTCTCCTCTGCCGCTGCCTGTGGTGGTTCCTGTGCTCTCTTGTTCCTCCTGTAAGCCTGGGACTGCAGTAAACAGCCTCATCATTTAGAACAGGAGGAGGTCAAAAAGAATCCTCTCCTCGATCTCCTCTGTGAGTAACATTCCTGGAAGTAATGAGCATTTGGTCACTTCTGATTTCAGTTCATTCATTCCCCTGCTATAATAGCTGGGGATGCAGCTAACCAAGCACAATCTGTGCTTGATTATCTGCAGTGGAGAGCAGGGAAGACATCAGGGATCTAGTAAGCCCTGAAAAAAAATTAAATAAAGAAAATGTAAAAAGTATTTAAAAAAATGTCACTGTAATAAAGTTAATAAAAGTGATTTAAAATAAATGTAAAAGCACCCCCTGTTCTCCCCTGTGCATACACATGAATGCAAATATGTGCGTAGGGCCTGCACATACAGTGCTTAGCATGGATGAGTACACCCCAGCAGATTTGTCAGAAAAACGTTTACTTTCCTTTCAAAATCGACATTTTCTATAGGACATGATACAAAATACTCCAACAAATACGGGCCATTGATTGCAAACAAGATTTGTTAATTTGCCCACACAAAAAAGTATTTTTCCTAACAAATTCATTCAAGACCATGTTGAAAAAATACATACACCCCAATGAAAGTCTTAAAAGCAAAGCTAAATTTTAGACAACAAAATCCTAATTACCAAGAATTCAACTACAGGTGAGTCTAATTATTGATTAAACAGGTGTCTAGCAGACAGTTGAGTATAAAAGGGTGTTACTTAACAAAGAAAAACCCCTCCCATTTCATGCTATCAGCAATGGCACCACATGGAAGAGAAATGTCACAAGACCTGAGAAAGAAAATAATTTCTGTACACAAGAAAGGTGAAGGCTACAAGAAGTTAAGCAAAGCTTTATTTATCAGTCAGAATACTGTAGCAAAGGTGATACAAAAATTTAACAAAGATGGAACTGCAACCATCTCACAGAGACGTCCAGGCTGTCCATGGCAGTTAACACCTCGACAGGAGCGTCTTCTGATGAAAAGGGTTGAAGAAAATCACCATGCAAGTTCACTGCAGTTAGCTAAAGAAGTAGAAAGCCAAATTGGGTTGATTGCTTATTGTGACACAACACAGCGTACACAGCAATGGATGGCATGCAAAGGTGTTGTCCACAAAGGAATCCTCTCCTAAAGCTCATGCACAAAAATGCCCACATACGATTTGCCCACTCTGAAAACGAATAAGACTACTGGGACTCTGTACTCTGGAGTGATGATACCAAGATAAATGTTTTTAGAACTGATTGCTTCAAAACTGTATGGTGACTCAAAGGTGAGGAATACAAAGAAAATGCACAGTGCCTACAGTGAAACATGGTGGTGACAGTGTCCTTCTGTGGGGCTGCATGAGTGCTGCTGGTGTCGGGGAGTTGCATTTCATTGATGGTATCATGAATTCACAAATGTACTGCTCTATA